AATTAGTAAATTTGTTCACGAACATCGAATACAGTAGTTTAGGCTGCTCACAGTTACATCTGGATTTACGGTACTTCAGGAACGTTAATAGTGGGCAGCGACCCCACACTCCATCTCCCTCACATGGAGAGGGTGTAGCTGATTTTCATTAGGAACAACTATCGTCCTGTCCTATGCTGGACAAACACATGGTTGCAGTTGATCCAAAACGAAAGTTCCCACCACAAGGACAGCCGCCGCATTGGAATGGTCTTTGCAGGCACGCCCCCTCACTTCCAGGATATGGATTGTACGCTAGGCATACACTCGAAATCCCTGGGATGTGGTAGGCGTGGCTGCGTACTCCAACCAAACGTGGTGATTGGAAAGGTAATTTCACTTTTAACGCAATTGTGGTCATGTCTCTGTCCAACATAGGACAAGATGACAGTTGTCTCAGACTGAAATATCCACGAGTAACCCTTCCTATGCCATGTCCAAATGCCACGCCTACTCCGTCTTATGGAGAAGGACTGCTGTGCATTGGCATCTCCTCAGTATAAGAGTGTTCCCCAACCAGCCCGTCCCTCAACAACTCAGCTTTAGAGAGCCTAGATGACACGGGAATGAGCGCTGCCTAGTCTGACCCACTAGCCCCTCAACTACCTATGCGTCAAATTGTGCACAGTTTGCTTCTACTTACGATTAGAAGTTATTCCTCAACTTATCCCAGCATATCTCTTCAAATAATTTAGTAAACTCGATCATTCATGGCTTTTACCTCTTCCAGCTTCTGCTTAGCGTTCAAGCGGCCGTATCGCTTTATTTGCTGTTCACTAGTGTTGGCTGGTTTATCGGCAGTTATGTCCTGGAATATTTTTTTCTCTGCACAACGAGGACAAGGTATATTTCGGAGCAAAAACCGCTACCTTTGTGAAAATCTGAGCAAGCTTGAGCATTTCTTGTATATTATCACTGTTCGATTGTTCACAAGCTGAGAATTTACGAATACTCTGCAATGGTAACGATCAGTTTTGCTACCATACGTTGAATGAGATGGGATGCTGGTCAGAAGATCCGAGCGACCCCGCAGAAGTCGCGTTGGGACTGTCGCGCGAGTTGGCACGCACCGTCAGGGCACAGCACGCGTCGTGTATAATTTAAAATAGGCGCGCGCCCCTCCCCCCCCCCGCTCAATACCGGATCTCAGTACGAAACCGGCTGCGATCTGTGGTATTAGTCTGTATTAGCTCAAGGTTGCCCGTGAGGGCAGATACGCTCCCAGGGTCTCAGGACAAGGTTCTCTATAACTTTACTATCTTTCGTTTGATCACTTTGTAATACTAACTGACCCCTGCGCTTACCACTCCCCTATTTCCAGACGACCAAATACGGCTCCATTTTGTTTTACACAACGGAAGCTGTGTCCTGCGTGCAGTATGGCCGTGGCCATGCCTAAAAGGCCTGCGCGCGTCCTGACTTCATTTTGCGCGTTGCCGCCATTCGGATCTCCTGTCCCACACCAGGAATGGTTCGGAAAAGACGGCAAAACCAGTTGACGTATACCATTCCATCAATCCATGTTTTCTGATTAAGACACGATAGCATTTTCTGTTCTCGAGTAGTCAATTTGTAAGCGCAATTCATAGAATAGTATCTGAAACAGCGTGGGGGCAATGCAAGGTTCATTTAGTTCAGTTCGATCAGGTTTGATCTTAGCCTTTTTTTCTAACACCAAGCCAACCATTCTGTCCGGGCCCTACCCAATCTCCTCTGAAGGCGCTATCTGCATCCTATGGGTCTGGACGATAAGCTCTTGTGTCTTTCTCATTCTGCTCTTCACCTTTTTGAAGGGAGTCTCGCAACGTCTGAATTACCATCCCTGCCCCCCCCCGTTCGGCGCTATACATCCATTCCACGCGTCAGCAATTGAAACACGGAGTTTTTTCCAGGGACTATACGCATTCTACTCTCATTCGGATTTGTAGTGGTTTTGAAGGCAACAAACCTACGAAGTGAGCGAAGGCAGCCGCTATACAAGTCAGAGTTGCTTGACGGACTAGTCTGGCGCTGCTGATTCACGCTCGCACCGCTCACCACTGCAGAATTTCCCCTTGTCGCTTGATATGGAAAATGTTTCACCTCAATCCTAAGCCATGCACTGTTGAAACAAGACTTGGTCGGACCAAATGTCCCATATTGCTGGTGGTTTGACGGGCTTCGGCTGTCGGAGCGCACAGACGAGGATTCACTGCGAGTGGATTGATAGAGCGAAACGCATCCAGCATTACCTGAAAATACGAGAAATGGTCATCTCTTGCAAATTTGCTGAAAGAATATATTGAGCATTGATTTTGCGACCCAGAATAACCGACGACTAGAATCATTGTGAATTCAGAACTTCGGGAATATTTGAGAAAGCTCACATTTCCCTTTACACTTTGAATTGGATCCACTACTAGAGCCACCGCTCTTGGATGAAGAGCTTCAAACGACTGTTGCGTGCTGACGTCCACACTTGAGAGCCAGCAGCCGAATCCTGGATGAGAGTGGTACCTGAAGAAACATTCACGGCGCTGATGACTTTATAGTGGGCATTTGCAGAACTTCTTCAGCAAAACTGGGAGTACCGTCATCCAAAAAGTATTGCTGTACTCTATATACTCACCCCGGAGACCACTCTCCCGTTGACGGCAAACTGTACTATTATTAATTGCTGTTTTACGCAGCAATTCGCGTTCCGAAAGTTATCACAAGAATGCTGAGTTATGGGCAAAAGTCGTGCCCCAGGCGGGAGTCGAACCCGCACCTCACGCTTTCCGGGCGAGTGCGCTATCCGTTACGCCACCAGGGCCACTTTTACCCTCTCAGCTTGACGGCTGAAAGCATAGGAAACCGTCAAGCTGAGAGGGTAAAGCGGCCCTGGTGGCGTAACGGATAGCGCACTCGCCCGGAAAGCGTGAGGTGCGGGTTCGACTCCCGCCTGGGGTCGACTTTTGCCCGTCACTCAGCATTCTTGTGACAAACTGTACATTCACCTCCGATGATCCTGACCCTTGGACTATCGAGGATAACGGGCCCGCAGGCAAAGCACACAGACACAGCATGCCGCACGCCCGCTCGCTTGACAACCATCGCCAAACGCCACTCATTTGTATGTTCTCTACCTTTGACTGCAACTGCGCTACCGCTACGGGATTATAGTATGGACACAAGCACTGCGTTTCGAAGATAGCAAGATGAGTCCGGAACGGCATTCGGGTATCTTTACCCTTCAGCCACACAGCTGCCGCTCTTCTCGCACATTACAAGGGCCGCGGTACAACCTGGGGCGTGTAATATTGACGCATCCTGAACACAGCCCACTCACCATCCGACTACCATTTCCGTACGGCCGGTTTGCTTCAGCAGATCCATGTGCTTCGTCTGATAAACGGGATCCACTGATTCGACTGTTACGCTCTGAATGTCTCATTTTCAGTTTTTCTTCACATATCACTGGCACAGCCCATGAGAGACGGTCGGCA